CTGATCTATAAAATGTGGCTAACACTTTGTTTCAAAACTAGTTCTCAGGGCTAGTTGTGTATGACTGTTTCTCTCCCACTAATGCATGAAATACATGGTGGCAGCTCTGCTTTTGTGCTTGCAGCTCAGGTGCTTGGTCACATGCTAGCAAAGTTAAATAAAAGGAACCTGTTTGTGTATTTAGTAACTTCTGTGATACCACAGTTTGAGCAGCAGTAGCTTTCAAAATATTTTGCTTTTTTTGTGCATCTAGGCTTCAAATTTTTTTTAAGAACTTTGAAATCTGCTGTTTGAGTCAATATCTGGGTGTTTGTGTTTAATGTAGAGACGATGGAGGGATTCAGTTTCTTGCCAATGAAGACAAGTGCCAAAAACAAAACAAAACACTACACTTGCCCAGAAAGTTGAAAAAATACATGTTTTTTTCTTTACCTGAAGGCCCGAGTGAGAAACTGTGACTATGAGAAGGTGCGACCCTCACAGGCGACTGCCACAGAACAGAATTTCACCCCATGTTGAAGCTCTGACTTACCTAGTAGCGACTGTTCTGAAAATGCTGTTGGCTCTGAGAAGTGGGATGAGCATGAGTGTCAGTGCATTAAGACTTCTTACCTGTTAAAGGTTGACCTCCTTGGTCACATGTCAAGGTTTCCACACCTCTCATGTATTTATTTGGCTTGCCATCGTTTTCATTAATCTTGAGTAGTCTAGAATTTGTCTTTTTGTGCAGCGATTTCATTGTCCATCATCCTGAGCAAAACACTGTAGTGGTGAAGAAACTGGCAGCTGTGACAGAGCTGTCACCGGTGACAGAGCTGCCCAACATGACAACTGTTCGTGGTCCTTCGTCGTTCACTTAATGTTACTCAAATTAAACACTTGGTTGCTTGCTCAGTTGTTACTTGCAGCTGGCAAGCCATGATGGATTGAGTCTTTTATACACACACACACACACACACACACACACACACACACACACACGCTGTTAAATCTCTTAGGAGGAGAATAGCCAAGGAGAGATTTCAAGGACACATCTTGGATGTGTATGTTTATGTATGAGCAAGCTGAACAGTTTGGGAGGGAGCGACTGTCTTGTGATCTGAAGCTGAACTGCTGGCAAAGGTGCTTCCGAGGGAGAGATGTATGGCCTACTTTAAAACACATCTTTCATGGGGACTGCTGGTGGGGTGGAGGTGGGCTGATAGGGTATGTTTACATACCATACCTTTTGGTGAGATGAGAAGGGAAGACTTGCTGGTGAATGAAGGTTTGTCACTTGAGGGGGCTGTTTGTCAAAGAAGACAGGACCCTGCTGAAGAGCCACATGTGACTGTCCTCACAAATAGTTATGTGTGAATAATGGTGACCCATCCAATTAATAGCTCAGTTGTGCTTCTGTTGGTGCACTGCTGTTTGGCTGCTCTAAGCCCAGCTCTTTATTGAAGTCCAGGCCCTTAATTAAGAGGCCGAGTGTATGCTTTCTGTTTATTTCAGAGAAAAAGCACTTGCCACATTCTTGTTGTATTTAATGCATTAGCAAACATTTAATGAGGTATAGCTACAAGTAAGAAAAATGAAAGGAGACTCTGTCCCTCAAGAGCTACCATGCCTATTTTTCATCAGCAGACCTTTAGAGAGGCAAGGAGAATCAAGTGGGACATTTTTGATATAGAATGACCAAATTCAGAGTCTTGGAATCACCTTAAATTATCCCTTTCCTTTGGCAGAGTGCAGTGCTCAGAATCACTGTGTAACCTGCATGTGCCTGCAGTTTAGATTCCATTGGCAGAAGCTTCTAGGAGCAGGAAGCCCTGTTTCTGTATCTGTACAGCTGGCTATCCTCTGTGCTTCTTGATTTGTTTTTCCCCAGAATCCATCTCAGAAGTATCTTTCTGAGTTTTCAAAGAAAGTAGATGCTTTCTTTCGAAGCCAGAAGGAGAAATAGGATGGGGTCTTCCGCGGTACCAGAACTTTATGCTATTTCAGTGCTAGATCAGTGACAGGCCTTCATTTAGTGGCACATACTGAACTGTCATCATATCTACCTCTCCTTGAGAAGACACTCCATATTCACCTGCAACTTATCATGAAATTCTAAGCAAAAACGCAAAGTTCAGTGTCTGAGCTTCCCCTCACTATAGGCATTTTCCCACACTCCTGTTAAATCTCTGGTATTAGATGGAAAAGAGCTCAAGACTTACTGATCAGAGAGAGCAAGATGATTTGCAGCCAGTCTGATTAGGGCTCTCTCACAGAGGACCAGAATATGTGGGTTCTTATCTGTTGTGTCAAATGCATTGATGCCACCTGGCTGCAGAGAACAGATGTTCTTAAAGTTTTGGTCATTATTTGGTCATTGATCCATTTCAAATGTTCTTAACATTAAGACTTTTTCTGTACTTGAGTACCTGGGGATCTGGATGCTTTTCAAAGCTGTTAATCAAATTGTATCATTTTAATGTTGCTAATTTGATGTCGTGCTGCTACTCTAGAAATTAAACCAAACATTTGGGAAGTCAAAAACTGGATTGGTGCTCTAAATAAAGTCCCATTTTCAGTGCATCTGAATGTGTTTTAATTAGCACGGAGTAGAAAATGGTCCCCGACTCAAACTTTTAAACCAATAAACAATCAACAGAGACAAAGGGGACAATAGCAGAATGCAGTAACATGAAACTAATAAAACTGATCAGCATCTTGCCTCATCTGCCAGCCTCACTGTTGCTAAGCATTTTGTGGATATTGCAAAATAAAGATTTTAAAAGAAGGCCTTAGAGTAGAGGAATGAGTTAGTTCCGTGAGTATTTACATAGTGAAGAGCCTTAGAGAATGCATTGTGTCTCTCATGGTCCAGTTACCTGTGGGTTTTGATAGCTTACTTACTAGTCTGTCTTACTATAGCATGTCTTAATTAATATTATTAAGAATAGCATGTCTTACTACTAGTAAGACATGTTCCTGAGCTGTGGGACATATGTAACTCTTGTGAATCCCAGTGACCAGTTCCTCCAAATGTTGAAGTTGTTCTGAGTGGCAGCCCTGCCCTCCCCTTTGCCAGCCACTGCGCTCAGTTTGATGCTACCCGTGGATTTGCTGAGGGTGCTGGTGATCTTCCATCAACAAAGTCATCGAGGAGGTTTTAAACAACAGCAACCCCAGTGCTGACATACGAGAAGGACCCCTCGTACCTGGCTGTTGCTGGGCTTCAACCACGTAAGCCCTGCAGTGCAGCAAATATTTCTTCTAGCCTGTAGTCTTCCTATCTGGTGCATATGTCCTCCATTTGGCTATCAGGACTAGAGAAGGTTGTTTTGAAAGCTTCACTGAGGTCAAGGTAAATAAGCTTCATTGGTTTTAAGGAAGAAGGATGCCCAAGACCAAGATTTGAACCTTTGCAGGAAGCTGGAAGCTTCTGGCTAATAAAAGGAACAGTTTGAGATTAATATGAATGTGCTGGGGAAGACTGACTCACAGAAACTATGAGAAGAAAATACTTCAGGATGGTGATTATGGCCGATGATGGTGTTTGAAGCTCATTTATTTGTTTCCTATATTTGACATGTAACACTTCTTAAAAAAGCAATGTACCCTTTTTATGACTTATCTCAGTTTGCACTAAGCATTTTCCCAGTGCATTTTTCTTTTAAATCATGCTACTTCTCTAGCTATGTAATTGCTGTATGCAGCTGTGGAAACTATCTCAGACCAAAGTTCTCTCAACAAATGTGATTTATTGAACGTGGCACTTCCAAAATAGTGCTACAGATGAAAGAGCATGACCATTGCTGGCTAAGAAGGAGCTTAAAGTCAGAAGACTTTAAAATGATTAATCAAGTGTTATTGGCCTAGAGAGGATTCTCTGCTAAGCAGTGAGACCTCTCTGAATCTGGATCCAGGTTATGCACTTTTTCTGTAGGCGTACTCCTGAGTTATGGAAGTTTAGTATTATCCGTGTTTCTGGCTGCTCAGTCGCCACGTGTCTTAGTGTTTATTCCAAATCACTTTTTCCTTTGCCATAAAGGAAAAATTGTATTACATAATTGGCAGAGAAACCCAGGAACTGCCAAATTTGTGCTGATATTAGGTTAGGGCTCTTCAGAGTGATGAGATGGTCATTACACGACGTACAGCCTACAGCACTACTTGCTACTTAGCATTTGATGTTGCCCAGCTACTCATGAAAAGCGACTGATTGAAATTGTGCCGTTTTCTACAAATTGTAGATTGAGGTGTATAGTTTTCTTATGGTAGTACAGCAAATAAGAGCACAGCAGTTACTCCGATAAAAACTTGCTCATGGTGTGATTTGTTCCAGTTTTAAGGGCTTCCTTTTAAATTGTAGTGCAAGTGATTACATGGCTTAAAGGATTGGTAATGGTATTAGGGCAACTTTCACCTTTAGGTTAGTAGTTTACTGGCTGCAGGGTGAGAAGTGTCCAGCTATTATCTGTGAGGGGCTGCATGAAATAGATTGGCAGCCTCAGCCTATTTCTAGAGTGCAGGTGTTTTATGCCAGGACTGTAGCCAAAGTTAGCTCTTGCTTCAAGTAGGCAGTCTATAATATATATATATAACTTGATTTTTCTCATCCAATTTAGGTTTGAGATGCCTAACAAAACCCCTGCAAGCTTGTATTTTTTAAGCCAGTGTTTGATTTCATTTGTGATTGAACCTAAGACCTTATTTTTCAGGGCATTGCTCAAGCTTACTTATTACTATACTTTTTGAAACACCCATTATTTTTCTAGTTAAAATCATTTCCTTTGCTAGATGGGAAAATCATTCTGATGTGCTATTTGTGGTGCAATATAAGCTATAACTTGAGGTTTAAATTATGTGGAATAAGATTCACACTTATGCACTTTTTCAAGTGCATATTTTAAATATTTTAATTGTCTAAATCAGTGCAAACAGATTACATGATAGCTTTTATTGCATCATTGTTATGCATTTATCTAAAATATGAATTTATTGATGTTTGTTGTTTTGAAATCAGTGTGTTCTAGGGCAATGGCTTCCAAAACTCCAGTTGGATTCATTGGCCTGGGTAACATGGGAAATCCAATGGCAAAAAACCTGATAAAACATGGATACCCGGTTATTGCATACGATGTGTTCCCAGAAGCTTGCAAAGAATTTCAAGACTTGGGTGCTCAGGTAACCAACATTCTTTATTCTAACAATAACTTTATGCATTGAATGGTTCTTGCATGTGATTTTTTTTTAAAGTAGGCTATTTTTTTCTTGCACATTCGAAAATAAAAACATCTGAACGTCTGAATCTGTGGGGTCCTACATAAAGCATAGACATGGTTTCACCCTGAGTCTTTGTCATGCTGTTAACCAGAACTGCCACTTTGCTGCACCTCAGTAGCTTTTTTCCTTCTTTCTTTTTATGAGACCAGATCGACAGCCTGTTCTTTCACCTCCTGCTTTCCCTA